TTGTCCTTGCCTGTCGTTTTCCAATAGCCTGCTTCCGTGGCTCGGTTAGTTCTCAGGCCAGTGGGTATTTCCGGTCTCTCAAGCTGAAGAAGTACCATTCCTTCTCTCCCATGGATGCTTGGCTGATAAAAATTCGAAACAGCAGCATGTGACTTTTTGGGTTTTATAGAATTTCATGAAACTTTTTTGTATAGCCTTCCGTTATGCTTATGGTAATTCAAACATGAATCATCTATGTATTTATAGCTAAGAATGTAACCAAAGGAAACAATTACATCATGCCCAAAATCCACAACGTTAATACAATATGCTAATTTTCCTATTGAAACTGAAAAACATTTTCTGCGAATATTTAACTAAGAAGAAATCAAGGTAAAATCAAGGTAGACTGGATGCCCAGAAATCTCTGAGAATTTATTAGAATTTTAATCCTTTCAAGAAAACTACTTTCAGAACATTCTCAACGCGCGCGTGCGCACCACACTCATGCAATTTTATTTAAATTAAAAAGACTTCAGGAAGTTGCGAATCACATATGTTTGGTTTGATGAGAAACCTAAATTATAACGCAAACATTCCGGATTCTATTCATCTATAGAACAATTATGTTCGAGAAATAAGCATTTGCTCAATAATATACTATAATGGAGGGAAAGAAGCAAAATGAAAAAGAAATTCTAGAACTACCTGGGAGGTCCCAAGGCTCGCACTTGTTGAGATCAACATCTGTAATGGCCTTGGAAGTGAAGCTGAAGTCAGATACCTTGTGAGTCAGATAGTAAGTAATGAGTTCTTCATCAGTCGGATGAAACCTGAACCCTGGAGGAAGGCTTTCCTCCATCTTCGCACCTCAAAAAAATTAGAGAACCCGCCCAGCCCTCTCAATTTCTTATTCTGGAACAGAAGTTACGAGCGGGCAGGGAGTACATCTATAAATGGGTCTAAAATAACTTCATATCATCTTACCTCATCCTTGAAGAGGAAGCAGCCATGCCTGGCTAGCTAGTCTTTCTTTAGTTTTTAAATTGCAGCTAACATTTTGACAAAGATGGGTGTTTTTAGATTTTCTTGTTGGAGTGGATTTAGCAAAGTACCAGTGCAACACATGACACGGAGAGTGGAATGACCAAATTGGGTCTCGGATTTGAGGTAATTAGTAGGAAACCGTTCCCTTAGAATGCGAGATTGGGTGTGCACGGGCTGTACTTGTATTAATTAATTAGGTCAATATTTTTTGTGGGTTAAATGATGGCTATGACTTTCAAAAGATTGAGTCCAATTTTACACCTTATGGCAGATGCCTTTGTTCTGTGAACTTCTCCAACCACCTTCACCCATTCCCACAAACAAAACCCTGAGATAACCTCACCATGGTCCAATGCAAAACATCCCTTCTATATTCTATTGACACTTGTTGGCTACCGTCATCTATGTCTTTTCTCCCTCTCCCCCCCCCCCCCCCGGGGGATCTCTCTCTCTCTCTCTCTCTCTCTCTATATATATATATATATTTATATATAGACATAGATATATACATTAATATATGCATGTATATTTATTTAACATTTGAAATTAAGTCCTTGGGTTATCAAAATTATTTCAATTAACTGCTGCAACTCACTTGTCCAAAGACCGAACGGATATCTAGTGTGTGGATTGTGCTTTGAGTTATTATTTTTCTTTGGAGCAACTAGGTATAATTAATCATTAGAATAAGGAAGATTAGAAGTAAAATGGATATTATGCCCAGACGAAGAAGGAAATTTTTGTAAGATTGGAGAATAGTGAACCTCAAGATCAATGATTCTTTTTGATTCTTCTAGAGATATTAACCACCTAATTAAAAATCCATTTGGCTTCCTTTAACGGGGTCTATTAGAATACTTCTAATAGCTTAGGGACCCAAATTAAAAAAATTATAAGTTCAATGGTACATTAATTGCGAATGAATTACAGTCGAGGGATTTCCTTTTTTTCCCTAATTATATGTTTGTACGCATTACATGTGAACTCCCTGCACGAAGCTTGTTTGCATGTAACTTAATAGCATAAGCTGGAGTTTTCAATTTAATATTATTTGTACAGAAAATCTATAATGTATTTTTCAAAAGCATACAAGATGGTGATATATACACTTTTATTGGTGTAGATTTGATGTGACGTTTCAATTATGCGTTTCTCATTAGTTATATATATTCACAAACAGTTATATTAAGCTAGCTTACTAAGATTGTTGAATAAGAAAAAATAAGATGAATCATGCTACATTAAATTAAAGGGTGTGGAATGTAATATTATATTTACACTGCTCTCAACGATTTAGAGTCTGTTTGGGATGGATTTTCTAGCTTTGTACTTGCCTCATTTGGCTTATTAAATCAAAAAAATGACAAAATTGTTATATTATTGGCTTTTAATGTAAATATCATAAACCAAGAAATTAAATTTTTTGATTTAATTCAAAATTTTTTAAATTAAAAAGTTAACCACATAAATCAAAAAAAGTAAGGCAATCAAACATATTTAATTTGGGTCATTTTGGTTTATTATTATTTTGCTAAAATAATTTTGGAACCTTTCTTTTTTCTTTTTTTTTCTGTTGAATGAGGCTCATTAAGGCATTGATATTCTGAAGTGGGACAATAGTCAAGATGATCAATAGCTTAATTAATTAAAGCCAGGTATAAAGTATTAGCTGTGGATTAAAATTTAATTAAATTAAGATTTAATTATATGAGAAAAGGAAAGATAATGTGAAGACAATTTTGGTGGCTCCTGAAGGATTACTATAATGGGGGACAAAGATTACTAGATATACAAGAGTGGTTAAAGGATCACCAACCCACAAGACTCTTTTCCCTTGTAGGGTTTTGATTTCGAAGCTTCCCTCTAATCTTCCCTCTTTTGTTCTCACTTTTTCAATCCTAACAAGAACTTCCATGCCACCGCATGTCTCCTACGTGGGCTACCTTCTAGAATGTGTACCCCTCCACAGTCCCTTTGAATAAAAATTAAATTAAAAAAAAAAACCATAGATAGAAAGAGAATTATTAATTGATTACAAACCAATTAATTGTATCACTATCAGATCATAAATATTGATGCTTACCCACAACAAGAGGCATAATTTGATTATTCTTTATTTATCATTAGATCTGTAGTTGTTAATTTTCTTTTTTAATAAATTTACTGCCTTAGTAATTTTATATCGTAAAAAAAAAAATGCATTATAGATAAATGAAATAATTATTATAACGATACAAGAATTACTGTCTATAATAATTTGTTAAACTAAATTATTAGTTTAAATACTTAAATCAAGTTTTTTTATAGTAACTTTTAAAAATTCTATATGTTTATATGATAATATTATATTTAAAAATTAAAGTAAGAATAGAATATCACAATTATTAAATCTCCGTGTATAGGGGTTTGGTGATTGAACCAATCTGTAAAAGATGTGGAAAGGGAAGAAAATGGAATTTTTGGAAAAAATATTTGGTTGTGGAGAGCATATATGGATTTATATTATATTTTCTGGCTTTGTCCCTTTTCTTTATTCTTTAGAAATATTAAATATTTTTAAAACTATTATTTTCAAATCATATTCATATTTGGGCAAAAAATAGCTTCTGACAATTCTGAAAAACAAGTTGCTTTTTGAGTGTACAAATTGGTATCTATTTGAAAATTCTCATGAGCACAGTTTTCAGAAAAAGAAGTTGCAAAACGTGATTTTAGTTTGCAAAACCAATTGGAACAAGCTTTGGTTTCCATCAAGAGTCCTGAAATCCCAACCTGATAAGTATGTATATCCTATTTTTAGGAAAGTGAAGATCCGAGAATATATGTATTGAGGTAATTGAGCAGGTAACTGCTGCAGCTGCTACTTTTATTTCTATTTTTTTTATATCCCGCAGCTTCTAAGAAGGTAGCCAGTAGTTATTCTAGGGTCTTCAGTCTGAGTAGGATTGATCGGATGTTGCTTTCACTATTAAATAAATAACTGGATTAATTATTTAACTAATTAAAGACTGACATGTATACGTAGAAGATTAATGCTATTACGAACCCATAGGTGGAAGAGGTTTTCTCCTGGAGCAGTCATTCCACATCTGTGCTCAGCATTACCACCCGACGACGTCGTTTATTCGTGTTAAAAGAGGTTGTATGTGAGAGAGTTGCTCCATAACACAGTTATTCCACGTAACTACGTATACAAAATGTCCAATGTGAAAATTAAGTAACAAATGACGATAATAGTTATAAGAACTGGATTGAACAAGCCAATTCAACTGGTTAAATTGAGAAATAAAAATTTCAATAATTTGGTTTTACAATTTTAATCTTTAGATATAGAGTTAATTTTCGGTACAATTTCTATACTCTTGAACACCACTTGATTGAATTGAACCCAGTTTATATAGATTTAAAACATTAGATATTACTTTTTATATGTAATATATGCATTATATTATATTTGAACTTTGTATAATCTACGCATGGTTATACATACTATTTTAATGGAAAAATTCCAAACTTAAAATCTGACAAACCAAATCTAACTTTATATAAGCTTTGAAGCATGCTTGCACATCCCTCCTCGAAACAAATTGATCAGTCTGTTCAAAAAACAAAATTTAAATGGAGGGAGATGGAAGAAAGAACTATACTTTAAAAAGGGAGAAAGAAAATAAAGTGAGACATATAAATAAAATGAGAAAATATCACGTGCTGGCCCCCCTTGACTTAGTAAAGTAGGACGATCACCTACTGGCGGCAGGCAAGCTTGACCACGTCTTTCTGCCATTGGCATTTCACACTCAGCTACATTTATTTATTTTGTCGACCATTTATTCTTATTGTAAAAGAAAAAAAATAATATCAAATTTGTATTTATATATATTTTTAAAAATTTATTTATGAAAACATGTTAAATACTATTTATATTAAAGAATCAGAGATTTATTTCTTTTAAAAAATTGATTTTAGTTGAGAAATCAATTCCTAGAAAAACTAATTTGAGTTTAGGAATCAATTCTTAAAAGAAATTAACCTATTTTCACAAATATTTATTCCCAACCAATTTTTCTAAATAAAATATTAATATTGATATAAATTTATGGAAAAATAATACTTGTCCCAACTTAATTTTAGAGGTGTTTAACAAATCGAACCAAATCATTTAAACCGATAAAATCGTAGTTTGATTCAGTTTGGTTCAATTTAGAAATAGATTTTTTTATACAATTTAGTTTGATATTTGACATTTAGATAAATTATATAAATCGAACCAAACCATATAATTTATATATCTAAAAAAGTAAAAAATTTTATCTATATATATAATATTTTTATTGTTTGATTATATATTTCTTTTTTTTTATTTTTTATATTTATATTCATTTTAATAATTGATTATTTTTCTTTTTTAGAGTGTGATATCTATTAATATAAGTGAAATTCCATAATACTGTATAAATATATTTATTGTATAATTCGTAACTATTATAATTATTGATAAATAATGAATTTGTTAATTTAAATATGTTAGAAAAAAAAAGATCAAAATTTTTCTAAAATAATAATTTTAATCTATTTTTTTTACAAATCATAAATTGTAGTTTAAAACTAAATAAAATCATAAATTATGATTTAGTTTAATTTATAAAAATTATAAATTATAAAATATAATTTAATTTTTGAGTATTAAATTAAATCAAATCAAACTAAATCAAAGAATGCGCTACCTTATTTAACTCACCTAGTTTGGTAAAATTTTGTTCCAACCTTCAATCTATAAATCTGACCCTATAATCATTTATTCTTTTTGTCTTTTTTTTTTTTTCATTTAGCCGGGTTGTGAAGACGAGAACAACAATACTTGAGTTTCTATCAATTAAAACTAGTTGAGATTCAGAGCATCCTTACGGGATTGCAAGGACTACAATTTGGTCAAGGGTTATCTGAG